GGGGGGGGGGTTGAATTGGAGAGGTGGGGGCGATGATGGTGGGGAAGAGAGGAGAGAGAAATAGAGAATAGCACTTTGTTCTGTTTAATTTTGCATTTAAGCATGTTTAGTGTTGATCATATACAGTCCCTTACCCTTTCCAGTTTGTCCTTGGGTGATAAAGGGTATTCTAGATGAAGAGATAACAAGGGTCACTCCATAGTCATCACAGTATTTTCCTTTCAAGTTGCGATTTTAAATTCAAGTCTATACCTTATCCCAGTCTAAAAAAAAATCTTAATCATTACCACGTATTATGACCCAAATTTCCATTCTTTCACCCTCTGCCATGGCCTCCTTTCAGCGCTGTAGCTCCCACGCAATTTTTCCGACTGTTTGTCGTCGCCACCTCGCATATCACGACTCGTCTTTGTCTTCGTCTTCACTACTCCTTGCAGAAGCAGTAAAATGTCGTGTACATCTCTTCCGCGACTCCATCTCCTTCTCACCTCTTCCCTTCCCTTCTCATACGACAAGTCTCGCATTCATTCGCGATCACTTTCCCAGACCAACCCCCCAAAATATAAAAAAAAACCCTCGGTACAACAAGACTCTCAACCAAGCGAATACGGCTTATTATCCCTGATGATATAAATCTCACCAATTAGCACGACAAGTCCGACGACCATGGTAATGGCGATAATGGGCAGGTTGACGCGGGCGAATTCGAGGCCGCCGACGCGAATGTGTTTGCGGCCGAGGATGTCGCGCCAGAGCATGCCGGCGAGGGAGGCGCTGAAGGCGAGACTGAAGGCGCCATAGTTTACACCGATGGCCATGCTGAGGATGAGCGTTAGTGGGTTGTTTTTGTGTGTGTGTGTGTGTGGAAGGAAGGGGGGAGAAAGGAAAGTACCTGTATATAGTGCCCCAAAAGGTGCGATCGGAAATCGGTCGACCGTTTTGTCGATGGATTTCTTCCCAAGCTTGTATGACGCGGGAGATGAGGATTGTGGTACCGATGTTTGTGCCTGCGAACTGTATTTTGCGTCAGCCATCTTCCTCATCTCAACCTTCCTTGATATCCATCTCTATTTTCATTTTGGAGGGGGAACGGGGAAACTTACATTACACAAAATAACAGAAACAAACCCCATACCGCCAATTGCACCAATTGTGCCCGTCTTCTCGACCCAGTGATCCCAGCCATGGGCGAAAACGGGAACCCAGCCTTTTGTTACAAGGGCTTGGACGAGGACGAACATGCAGAAGGCAAAAGGGACAAGGGCGAGGGGGAGGTGGTGGAATACGGTCATTGTCGTGGGGAAGGTTTCTTGGGCCCATGCGTAGGCATCGTGAATGAGAGAGGTGAGGGTGGTGGGGACGGGTTTTTTGGTTGGTTCGAGTTTTTCTTCTGACCGGGGCATGGGCTCGGAGGATGAGGAGGGTGTGATTTGTTGCTCTCCGCTTGTGGTGTGGCTGGCGTCGTCTGCTGCTGAATGCGCTTTTTCGTCTAGGACTTGGCTTTCTCGTTGGACGGGGTGTGGAGTGATTGCATCCTGATCCACTTGTGCGACAGACATTCTTCTTGCTTCTTCTCTTTCTGCGAGTGCGGTCTCCATTCTTTGCCGACCTTCGTGGGCGATTCTTCGTGTTTCTTTTCGGTTAAGCCAGCCCATTATAAGGTCGAAGCAGAGCATGATGAATGCAGCGGGTAGAGTAACCCAGAAGACGGGGCGCTCGTGCGTGCCTGTGGAAGCTGCATTAAGAGCAAGCACTGTTACTAGAGTGGCTGCCATGAGGACTGCTCCAAACATGGCGCCTTTTCTGTCGAGGAACGGATTCAGGACTTCTTCCAGAGACTGTTTCTTTTCTTGCTCGTCGTCGCTGTTAGGGTCAGCCTCGCTGTCCTCGAGTCCTCCTTTGGCGTATGGAATGTTTGGATTCACTGGCTTCTTGTTCTGTTGGGTTTTTGTTAGTAATGGCCAGGGCAATCATTTACATTTCTTACCTTGAGCTCCTCTGGAAGATCCTCCATCTTAATCGCAGGCGGGATGAGAGATTCGTCATGGAAGATGATGTACAGCAGAAACGGATACAGGACAATGCCTGTCACAAGGACCGGAACAATGACGTTTGCAGTGTACTTGATAAAGGTGATTTTGAAAGCTCCCGCGAGGACAAGGTTGGTGGGATTAGAAGAGACGAGAATTGCGGATGCGATGTTGGCCACGGAGAACTGGGTGAAGATCCATGCTCTTGGATGCTTGATGTTACTTGACACACGAGTCATGTAAGACAAGAAAGCAGTGCCTGACAAGATGATAGGATCATTGCCGATGAGAGCTGTCAGTCCAAAGAAGAAGGCGTACAGATAAAAAAACAGCCTGTGACCTACTTTTCCTCCTTTCTGCAAAACCTTAAAAGCCAACCATCTGATCAAACCAGAGGCATCGACAGAAATGGCGATGTAGGCGAGCGAGAGGAAGAAGAGCATGATGTCGTAGGGGACGATGCCTTGGTCACCCACAGTGCCACCACGTACTTCTTTTTTTCCAATAGCAAGGATGGCGAGCAGGAAGAGATCAGCTATCAGAGGAGCAGTGATGAAATTCATGGGAAAGTCGAATCGCACAAAGGCACCGGGTCGGCCATTCCGCACTCTGGTTGGATGTTGGGGTGGCGGTATGATGCGCATTGCACTAACAGTGTCAAGGCATAGAGTCCAGATAGGCCGCGGTATGTAGATGGGTATATGGAAAGGGAACAAGACATTAATGTCTACGAGCATCTGGAGTTAGCTGGGTGTCTGCAACTATCAGCATGCATAGTCGACTTACTTGTCAGAACAAAGACAATGAGGGTGACTATGGAGCGCCATTGCTTGATTTCGTTGGTGTCAAGATTGGGCCTCTCTGGCTCCGTCGTCGCACGTGGGGCAAGCATGTTGCGACGGCTGCCAGAAAGCCAAGTGCGCACTGCAAGTTGATTCTAGTTGAAGAAAAAAAAGAAAGGGTAGTGGTTGCAGATATGTATGTGCGACTAAGCTTTTCCAGTAGGCCCGATGGACGGGTGAGAAGCGTTGGTCGGGAGCCGGTGCGTTGGGCTAAGATGGCACGGACAATCAATGGTGGTGAGCAAAACTTGTGAGTTGAAGCATCGCAGCCAAGGGATACCAAGAAGTTTGTACGACGGTGGTGCAGTGGGTGTGTATGTAGCTGGGCTATAGCTAGAGGGTAGTCAGACACTGCGCCCGCTTCGTCAGTACTGAATAGGGATCATGCACCGCCCGCCTGCATCGTAGGTCTTGGGCTGCCAGGGCTAAGGATCGGAGGCTGGTCATCCAAACAGGGTGGCGAGAACCCAATGATGTAACCCGTTTTCTTACCTGGGCCCGTCTCCTTAAATGCGCACCGATCTTTTCTAGCCTTCACGACGTCGTGTCGGCCGACTGTGCGCCGTCAGAGGGGCTCGCATGATGAGTTGGGTTCTGAGGCAAAAGGCGAGAGAATGACTGCCCAGGCAGGTCATGCTGCCGCTCAGCCACGCTTCGCCCTATGCAGCCATAAACACTCACCGGTAAATGATGCGTTTTCCCCAGAGCATTGGCATTTTCTACCGCCGCCTCACTGGCCCGGCGTCTGCCTGCTCAGGCCAATTCGTAGTGCCGTTGCGGCTACTTTTGGTGCTGCCCTCTTCGGTGTCCCCTACATAACGATGGCCTTCATCTTGCTCCTCCGGTGAATATACGGTGTGAACATGTCAGCGCCCTCAACAATCCCCACCATTGCCACCCCTACCACTGCAACCATCGCCTCTTCTACGCATACGCAATCTTCGCCAGCTAGCGCGGCCTTCAAAGTCGTCTGTGCCTGGCCCATATCTTCCAACTACGGCGCCGGGTCGCGTGTCAGTAACCCACCTCCCCACCCTCCTGTCGAAATGCGTTCCCGCCCAGCCAACAACTGACGCCCGCATCCAGATCCTATACTATGTCCTTGTTGCTGCATGTGTGACATTTCGCAAAGCTGAATGGTTGCGGAACACGTGCTTGGCTGCCGTCTTGATCCTCCCCGCCATCTCGGCGCTCCAAGGCATCGTGCTCGCAGCTGCGCACCAGAATGGTCAGTACTGCAAACCCCAAGAATCCCCAAGAGCCACGGCGACGCCTGTTCTGACATGTGCCGTGACCAGGAGGAATTGATTTGGACATTTTTGGTGCCTTTCAAGTGTGTGCAATTGGCATCTTGGCCGCTCCGCTCACGGTGCGACTGTCGCGCACCTACTTTTACACACCGGGAAGGAACATTATCTTTTTGTGGACCATTTTAATCCTCATGGGCCTCTTGGCCCTGTGCGTTGAGTTCTACCGTGTGACGCCGACCGACTGTAACATTCCTGTCGACGACAACTCTCCCCGAGGAACCGCCGCCTTTTTGAAACTGCAGCCCAATTGCAATTTGACCTGCTCTGAAACACAAGGCCCAAAGTCGCCGCTGCGAGGCGGAGCTGCAGCCGACGTTTATGTTGTCCCTGTACCACGGATCCTGACCTTTAATGCCGGCATGCTCTTGGCGGCAGGGTTCTGTATACCAGCCATCCTGTCCTTGATCTTCACATGGGACAAGGTCCTGGAAACCAATTGGAAGAGACGTCGCCATGTCGAAGAGCTCGATGCTCGCATCGAAGGCGCAAACATGACAGTCGGAGAGCTGAGGAACATCAACGACCTGGTGCGATCCTTTCTGACCGTCATTGAGATCCCGCTCTTTGGTGGCGTTATCCTGACCATTATCGGCATTGGCGAAGCAAACTTCTTCAGCCCTCAGATGATGTACATGACCGAACCCATGGGGTCTTTTGGTAAGCGACACTCACTACATGATGCCAAGTAGCCTGACAGCCTTGCCTAACATTCTATGCAGGGCAATGGTCACCCATAGCTGGTACAATCCTCGGTGCTTTGGGATCCTTGTACCTACTGTGGTCGACCAGCGGCAAAGAGACTACCGAACAGAAGCATACCCCACAATGCGAGCATTCGTACTCGTCACGTCACAGCCATGGTAGTGAAAGATGTCCAACTCCACTGCCACAGAGGAACTCCAACTCCAATTCGAATCTCCAAGTCAATGCTCTGGGTATACGCTCAGAGTCGCCCAATGATATTTCATTGATTCCGACAATTACGCATCCAGGAGATGATGGCGATCACATACACGAAATCCTTCCCGAGGACCGTCGGGATACTCAGCCAGACGATCACCCGACAGCCGGTAGACACAAAGTCCGTAGATGGCTGACCTCTGCCGGTAACTATCTTGGCGACGCTGCACACGAAAGGCTTGACTTGGAGAAAAACAGCACCAACGAGGCGACACGATCGTTCCCAGAGGTACCCGGAGAAATCTGGCGTAATCCAAACCTGGAGACTACTAGTCGCAATTTTGATCTGCTCCGGGAAGCAAAAGCCAGTAGCACATATACAGCAAGCATTCGGTCTACATCAGATATCGGGCCCAGCTCACCGCCACCCGTACCCGAAACGCCGCGACTGGATTCTAGTCCCGCCCGGGCACCAAAACGACGAGACACACTAGAAGTACCAAAGGAAACCCATCGAAGAAGCGAAAGTCAGAGCTCAGGAAAGCAATGAATATTTACGGCTTATGTGCTTGACTACGTATGTACATGAAGTATACTGTTCATATCGCAAGAGAATGCGACTTTTACAATCCGAACCAGGCCTCAGTCTGGGCTTGGTGAGCTGGGACGCCGTGTCCGACGCCGACGGCCCAGATACCCTGAACGTTGGAACCGAAGTCATCAGTGCGGTAGTTGGTCTGGGGGGTGTTGGCCTGCGACCTTGTAGGCGTAGTGCTGACACCAAACACGTTGGTCCACTGCTTGAGCGTCTCGTTGTAGTTGGGCGGGAGGATGGTGGCATCAACGGAGCCATGCCAGAATTCTACACACAAGTCAGCAACCGTCACATCTTGGGGAAACACAAATCCACTTACGGACACGGGGACGCGAGCCATTGTAGCCAGGGTCCATTGCGCGCGCAATGTCACCCCATTGCTGTGCGGTCTTGATGGAGCGTCCTTGGGCGCATTCACTGTTCCACGCCGCCACCCCTCCAGAAGCCGACACAAAGCATCCAGCAGCGACACCAGAGTACACTGAAGTCGCAGCAATAAGATCAGGATACGTCGCCGCCAAGACGTTGGTCATCATCGCACCGGACGACTCTCCGACCACGTAAACCTTCTTGGGGTTGAGGTTGTACTGCTTAGTCGCATACGCAATCATATCCGCAATAGCGTTCGACTCGCCACCTCCACCACGCGACAGCGACGCCTTACTCGAAACATCCCAGCACGACGCCGTCGCGCTCGGGAACACGGTGACGTAGCCCTTAGAATCCGAGCCCTTCTTCCACGGTGCCCAGCCAAAGTAACTCTGGCCGGTGGATCCGCAGGGGTGGATGGCTACAACGAGCGCATCGCTCTTGACTTGATCGGGCTTGTAGACGTACCTATGTTGTAATGTTAGCAAAGCCGCAAGATGGGAAATAGGGTGGTGGGATGGGGGAGGTTATTGTCGTTATACATACATTCCAGGTCTCGCCTTCGCCGAACCCCCATAATTCGAGACTTGAGTCAGCTGCGCAGCGAAAGCCGCTGAACCGCAAGCCAATAGCGAAATAAGAAACTTCATCTTTGACCTTGAAGCTTCTTCTCAAATATATATGTACAAATAAAATAAAAAGACTTGTTGCTCTCCTGTTGGCGGGTTAAGGTCATACAAGAAAAACGGACAAGCAAAAGGCAAAGCTTCGCGAAGCCTTTTTATATACCAATTACACACGCACTCTATTCCACCCCCCGGTATAAACGCACCCCGTGTTTTATCCCCCTCAATACCGTAAAGTACCTAGATTTCTCCACCCCGATAATTTCTCCACACCAAAACAAAAAGGAACACCCAAACAAGTACCGACGCGGCCCGACTCCAGCCCTCGTCATTCGTGGGAATCCGTGCGTAGCACCACCGCCATAAACCCCCCCCCCCCCAAAAACAAGACACATACATAGTAATTGTATTTCAACCGAGTATTTTACATTGCGCCGGGGCAAACACACGTCAGTATACCTGAAACGGGGTGTCGTCCGCCACACCCCCCACCACCACCACCCGCCGGTAGATGGAGAGAGGAGAGGGGGGGGGAGGTGCAAAATAAGCACTATAAACTTCCAGCTTTGTTCGCAATATATTAAGTCTTAGACACAACAAGGTTAAAGTGCTTATGAGGGTTGTTTTTCTGTTCAACGATGAGGAGAAAGATTACGGTGGGGTTTTTTGCGGCGGAAACGGGGTGTGTTTGCTTGTTTCACCGCTTTCCAAGGTTTGTTCGGTACTTGGAGAAGGGTGGGTTGGGACGAAGAGGGAAGGGATGGGTGGTGTGTATTAAGCGGTGGCAGTACTGCGGATATTAGGGTTGCTGGTCTTGGGTTAGGGGGGGCTTGGCGGGTGGGTAGGTGTGTTGATTGAGGTTGTAGGGAATGGAGCGCCGTGGATTTTTTTTGTGGTGATGGTTATGAGCAATGAGGGTTGTGCGGTAGGCTGGGTCATTAGTGACAGAATTGGAGGGTTGGGCTGGAGATGGAGGGCTAGAAGTCGATGTACATAGCTGGAAAACTGACATATGTTTTTTTGCCTAAAAGGAAGGAAGATGTAGAGCGAATCTTTGCTAGATAGGGCTCTATCTCAGTGTAGAAGCGCTAACAGTTCTAGCGCCCGTTTTGTGGCCGCTAGACATATATTCTCCGCACATGACGCCGTTTCCATCGCCGTCTTCTAGATGGAGCCCAGATTGTTCCTCCAGATTGGGTTTAGCAGACGGAAAACGGCGCTGAATCGATCAAAGAGTTTAAGAGGGGGAGAAGTGGGGTTGGTCCGGGGAAATTGGTAAGAATGTGGTATTATTGTGCATAATTGTGTGCGTGCTACTACCAGCTATATTGTGGCAGTTGACTCGCGTATCCATACATGCAATCGCCCGGTATGCGATCCCCAACTCATATATACTTTATAATGGTTCTTTAGAGGGTGATGAACTAGAGATACATGGCCTTGAGCCCCTCCAACTCTTCAATCACTTTGTTGATTTGGTCCGGCTTTTCTAACACCATGACGCTCTCAACAACATCGGCGACGCGTTCGTGCCAGAGAGCCTCTTGATCCACCTCTTCTTCTTCTTCTTCTTCTTCTTCTTCTTCAACACCGTCATTGTCGCCATCATCGTTACAAAGCGACCCAGCGTACGAGGTCAAACCCGAGTACACACCGTCGCTGATTCTAACAGGCGTCCCGGGAGATGGAAACCCAAGTGGCAGCGTCGGCTGCGTACTCAGCGTTGAGCTAGTAGTAGTTGGTGAGCGCAGCGTAAGCGGCAACGGACGATCGGGTGCTATATATTTGTCTCTCATCAGTATATATTGTGCAGAACGCCATGCGTTTTAGAAAGCCACCAAACACATGGCATGAGGTCGTAAAGGGAAACGTACTGTCTGGTGGGTAAACCCTCAGCTCTGGCGCCATCGACGCCAGCGACGTCGAGCGCTGAGCAGCCTGAGTCATGGCGCGCTGCCGTTCGACACGCAGGATTGGCGGAAGCGCATCGATGCGTGGAAAGACGGAGAAATCGCCTTTACTACCACTGCGCATCGAGATAGTAGTGACGCTCAAATTGCTGCGTGAGGCTCGTTCCTGCAGCGCGATGCGGGCTTCACTGTACACCACATGCGTTAGTCTCGGCAATTTGATAGAATATTTGCAACGTTCTGTTTGGTCCGGGTTCCAGGCAAGCAGAGGGAGGCAAATTATGGGTGTGTGAGAGGTTCAGAGAGTCCCGAGGAATCCATTGTGACACCAGGTTGTGCCTGGGTCACGCAGATTCCGGATTCCGGGACTCTTGCGCAGGGCGAGGTGGGTGAGGGGTTTGGCATACACAGGGCGTTGGGTGAATACTTCTTGCATCAATGCGCGGAGGTGTGGGTTGGCAATACGTGCGAGGTTGTAGCCCTGTCGTCAAACAATGTACATGTTAGCGTTTAGTGGTTCTTAGTGAAAATTGGTGAGATGGGGGAACACCTGATAGATACACGGTCGAGGCGAAGCTCGCGGATGTGCAGGCTGGCTTCTTCGTAGTTCTTGCTACTTTCGTTGACCCAGTAGCTGAAGAGAGAGAGGTTGACTTCGGCGACAGTCTCGTCGTAGATCTCTTGGGCGATGCGGCGGACCTCGTCGTGTGAGAAGTTGACGTGGAGGGATTCGAATCTTTGGTGCTTACGGACACAGCCGCGGGTTGGGAGAGTGTCATTTCTCTCACTCGTCTCTTCGGTCACTGAGTGATCATTATGAAGTGTGTCGATCTCGTCCTCAGTGGAAGTGACGAATTCCTCTGCGAAAGCAGTAAACTGTTCGGGAGACAGTGCTTGAAGTTGCCCGAGGTCTTCTGAGACCTCGACTTCTTCTGCAGCTGGTTTAGTTTCGATCATTCAGATTGTAAAAGTCACTTACTTTGTTGACCGAAGTCGCCAGTAGTTTCCTTGCAACGATCTACATCATCCGACTGAGGACGATGATCCATGTCGGTGGTGTCATTGTCCTCATGCTCAGAGTTCCAAACGATGGATAGCTGGCTGCTGCTATAGGCACCGCTGTTTTCACGCTTCTTGCGCCTAAAAAGACTCGAAAGCGACCTTGCACTACTCTTGCGAGCCGGTCGACGAGGCTCTGAGCCATCATCCCCAACGCTCTCTCTCACATCATGTCTCTGAAGGGTGGCTGCGGGGGGTTTTTGAGGGATACCTTGTTTTGAATCTTCAGACTGGCCCCAAAGAGCCGGCACTACGTCTGGTGAGAACATGGTCGCCGCCAATCCTGCTTGGAGTTGGTAATGTGGGAAATCCATGGTGTAAATGTATAGCGATTCGCTGCTATTCTGTTGTGCAATGCCACGTAGTAGTGGGTTGAGTTTCGAAGAATGTGTTATGTGTTGGTAACGTGAATTTTGGAGCAAAAGACGTGGTGATAAACGAGCCGTGAAGTGGCGCACTGACATTCAAAGTGAAGGTGAGAAACTCAAGGTGAGGTCTGCTATCTCGGGGATAAATCGCTCAAGGGGTCCTATGTGAAGGCTATGGAAACACGAAGAAAGATGAAGGGTTCTCATTCCGTTCGTATCATGGAACCATGAGGCGATGATTTAGCCATGCAGAAATCACTTCAAGAATCTGAGTATGGTGACTGTACGACATCTCACTGAGTTGTTTTAACACAACCCTCGCAACACCTAATCTGCCCCAATGTAATATGTTAGCAACGAAGGTGGTAAATAAAGATTGACTGTATTATACTCAAACAGGTGATAGGGCCGTACAAAGCGATGTCACCGGCGACGCTTGAGTCAATTCAAGCTCGCAAAAATTGTGGTCCATCGGTTTTGGTAGACAACTCATTGTGATGCAACATGAGGTACCATTTCTAGAATAATCATTTAATACTCATTTCCTCCTGTTGATCTTCATTGCTCTGTCAAACGAAACAATTTACAAATACCACAAGTAGTGCCTGGAGCTCCAGTCAATCTAGCTAGCTTCTTGAGTGTGACATTCTCTGACTTTAACACATCCATACCCCAGATTCAGGTTCCACATTAGTACCGAAAAAGCGGCCGAAATAGTCGCGGCAGTTAACTACGCATACCAGTGTCGTGTTCAATGCCATAGTAAACCATATTGACATCGCTGATCAATGCGTCTTTTTTTGTTCCAATCAATCAAATGTATAACATTCACAAGACCAGGAAGGAGCAAAGAGACTAAACGCAGCCAATATGATAGGTGAGGAGTCAGTGGTAGGAGTTGGAGGATGTCAAATCTAGACCGAAACCATCACATGGTCAATTCCCATGTGAGTGGTCATATGTAATCGGTCTGGGCGACAACAGATAGCGTACCGTGATCCCACTGGCGACCCACCGGTTGGAAAGCAAGTAGCAGAAGACCCAGTCGAATATATTCAGTGAGCACTTATGTGCATTCAACCTGCTGATGGCCTGCACAGAATGTACGTGTCGACACATGTCTCACTCGTCTTTTCCAGAGCAAGTCTACTGAAGTCGAAAAGACGGCTACATCAAGAAAACAGGCTTCTCAACAGTGATTACCCAAGAGTATTGGCATTCAAAAGAGGTGGGTGATGCCTAGTGGAAGGAATGTTGCTGTAAAACGACGGGCCGATTAGATACGCATACGTACTACCTGTGTGAGCGGATTCGACAAAGCACGTGTAAGAGAATGCCGATCTTGCAATCGTCAGGCATATGATACCGAGCGTTTGTCCATTTCAAGACATGATTGAAGAGCAAGTGGCGTGATTCTTACAGGTGACCGTGGAGATTGGGGAGGGCTCGACGTTGTTCATGTATGTATGAGGCATAGCTGGGTAGCCAGCCCTTCCCGACCTGGCGACCAGCACATAGTTGGCCTGCTCCACTGCGGGCAACGCCCACTGACGGCCAAGCTTCTCCCGTAACCGTGTGGCCCTGGGCTTAGTCTCGGCGATCTCCATCTTACTTTGCTCCCGGGCCTTGTTGGCCAGGGCCTGCCGTGACGGCGTTCCTATTAAACACCCGAACCGCTACTCGAGGGTGCAACAACGCATCGCTTACGTGCCCCTCACACATGCCCTTCGGCTTAATTAAAAAGTATACTCAGTGCGCTTACTGTGCCTGCAATGGGTATGACATCTGGATGCCTGCGCCCTTAGTTGCAGAGATCAACTCGCACGGCGCTTATGGACGTTGCACAAGACGACACAAACGTCTCCAACCGCGGGCAGGATCAACCATACCCACTTTTCCACAGCAGCGATATTGCGGCGCAGACCCAACTCTAGGCACTGCTCTTTGATAGTATTAGGTCACAATGAGGGAGGTATCCTGGCTCGACTTCGTGACCACTCACACGACCAGGACCAGCCCTGATCAACGAACTCATGATCCTAGCTTCAAACGGAGCGTCTCGGCTACGAGACCCAGAATACACGGGATGACGGCGAAGCACGTTTGATTATGGCGGTTTTTTTTCTTTAGGATTCGAATGCGAAGCCAATAGCCGTTGGCTACAGGACAGAACGGACAGCCGCAGTGGCGAGTGGAACGTGGTTGTGGGCTGAAGAGGTGCCTTGGGGAGCTGATTCGCTAGGCAATGTAGCGAATGGGGCTGTGAGGCGCTGCCTTTTGACCCCAGACAAAGACAGCGGATCTCAGCCGTTCAGACGACCACAGGATTGCTGGCCCACCCCCCGGTTCCCCATTGACGGCCGTGCAAATTCCGCAGGCGCTGTCCATATGAAAATTGCGGCGAGGTCGATGCAGATGGGGCACTGCTGTCCAATCGAAAGCCGACATTAGCGCCTCTGTGTGTTGGGTTGCCCATCTATTCCCAACTGAGCCATACACCCAACGTCGTCCATCCTCCAGAAGCTTTCCACACCATGTACCAACGGCGGGGCTATTACAGGCGGCTCTCAAAACTTTGAATCGCGTTCAAGCGCACGCCGGGGCTTAACGTCGCCACTAGGATGGCATGATTATTCTGGCATACTCGACAGATCTAATGGGTGTAGTACGCACTGTCACGCCGCGGATGACGCGAGTGTGGTGCATTCATATAGCAAAAGTGTAGCCTGCAGGCCTCATGTGGTACCGGTTCCCAGTCCTCTGTTATCGTCATGTTTTGTTGTGCGGCGCAGTCTCTCTTCTCCTATCCTGTTTGATTTTACCCACTTGACCAGAACCAAGGCTGTGCCGCAATAGCATTCCTTCGCTGCTTGCTTATGCACTCGGGTGCTGCCTTCTTTTACACATCCTTCGCCGCCGCCATTGCCGTACTTTCTTTTCGTGTCGCGCGTCTCATCAGACGGCATCATTTACGCCTCTGCATATTCCAGGCCGACATCCACAGAAAAGCTTGTCCCGTACTTGGCACGATAACCTTTCCATAGACATGGCTACGCTTTCCGTGCCGTCCCCTGACATGTCCCCGGCCTCGTTGGGCAACAGCGTCCACAGACCACTCTCCACACATGGCCTGCCAAAGCCGCCGCGGACCATGTCACCGGAACGACCACATCGTTTTTCAGCAAAGAGCTATCCTTCTCCCACTCTCGCTCACACTCCTATGACTCCAGATATGTCAGGACCAATGTCTCCACCACCAATGTCGGCCAAGTCCTTTGGCACCTTTATCGATTCAGAGCCATCAACTCCAGCCTATTCACCGAGGATGGGCACTGAATGGAACAACTCTTCAGTGCTCCTCGTTCGGCCTACATCGTCATCTTCAGAGCCTGCCAGTCCTGGAGAGCCGGTATGGCGCATGCTAAAACCATTGCCAATCAAAACACCACCCAAGCCGAAGCAAAAGTCCACCTATGTTATGTCTCAGTCAAAGGCACCGGCTGTCGATACTAAGGAGATTTCCTCAAACACATCTTCGTACTCACACACCACCAAAGAGGCGAGGCACATCAGCCGGCCGACCGAGTTCAAATTAGCAGATCTATCTCAGCAAAACTACCCTCCAATGTGCGAAGATATCGAACTGAGTGCAGACGAGAGGCCAGATGAACAAAACGGCGGCACCCCCACCTCAGCGGCCTTTGGTAGGCTAGCTTCCAAGATGAAGTTGATGCTCCGACGAAAGAACACTGATACGAAGAAGAAAGAGAAGAAGCAAAGGCACTACGAAGAGGTGGACCGCATTGAAGATAAGCACTGGACAGAGATGTGAGCTGCCTGGCCGTCGTCAAACGCAGCTTGTTTATCGTCAGATATTCTTACTGTCGGTACACACATTGGAACACTGGATATGTTGGTAACACATTGTACGGCATGTTATGATAGAAAGAGACTGATACACGACCGACTGAACACAGGGAGGAATATTTCCAATACTTTTTGTATCGCAAGGACAGGTCGCCTTTTGTTTCTGATTCGATAATTCTGTTGTCGATCGTTGTCACTAATTTCATTGGCGTCTTTGGCAGGAGTTTGTCCACGTTTTGATTTTGGGATGGAAATTTTAAAGTCCTGTGTTTTTATCGCGAGTTACACTACCCAGTAACGACGATACCCAATCCTTTACAAAGAGTCTATCAATCAACTATATTATGCTTATTGGAATTTTCAAACCGCTCTCTGTGTGCTGGAACATGGACCTCTACTCACAGAAGATCTCGTCTATCCCAAGGGAACAGGGCATTGTTCAAATGTCCGAGTCCTTCTGCAGAACCACATGTGGACCCGTATTTCTAGCTGACGCCCTGTGTCGCTCAAACCGTCTTACGGGCGCTACCCGGCCGCTTCACGTGAGTGGACGGTCGGCATGGACGCACAGACCACACCCTTTGATCTCTGGTACCACAGGAAGTTTCCAGCACCAAATCTGCCCAAGTTCGCTAATCATCAAGATAGCCACCATGATACCAAGACAATGGGGGAGGGCGGCTTGCCTCAACTCTGCGACGCAAACCCAACTAGCCCGACGGTTATCCACGTTCACAGCAGGAGGTAGCATAATTCGGCCACGTACAGAGCATCTAAGCCGCGCTCGACACAGTGCAACATCACGTGCCTTTTCACAAACCGGGCAACTTCACAAACGATTTGAGTATCGTAGGACACAGAGTATATTGCAAAATACCCAGAAGAACCGTCAGCAAATTTCACATCCGACCAACACCCTCCTGCAATCACGTTTCCCCACAAAGACCGTCATCGCTCTCGTTCTCATCGGCGGCCTGGCATACTACCTTGTCGACATAGTTGATCCCTCCTGGACAGATGATGTATATGCGGCCTTTGCTTCGGGCGACGACTCGAGTTCACTAACGACACCGCTGCAT